GAGTATCACGGGGCAGGCGCGGCGCTTTCGCACGGCCAAGCGCAGATTCCGTTGCAGGCGCAGCGCTTTCGCAAGGTCAGGCGTAGATGTCGTCGCAGACGCAGCGCTTTCGCGCGGTAATGCGCGGGTGCCATGGCAGGCGCAGCGCTTTCGCAGGGCAGGCGTCGTGGCCTTTCCCAGGGTCGGGCGCAGATTGAGTGGCAGGCGCGGAGCGTTCGCACGGCGCGCGGGCGCAGAGAATGAGTGGCAGACTTCGCGGCAGGTGCAGCGCTTTCGCGAGACAGAAGGATAGGTTGACAGTGATTTGTCGATACATTGAAACGTTGAAACTTGGATGGGTGGCTTATTTGTTATGTATTTGGCGAACCTAGGTGATTTGCTAAGCCACTTGCAAGTTGCCTAACTTGAGTTAGTAAGTCCGCAAAGTCTTAAGTCTGACCTAGCGGACTTACAATCTGGCTAAGTCCACTTGGCGAATTAGAGGACTTAGCTAACATCTGCTTAGCTAAGTCCTCTAACTCGCCAAGTGGACTTAGCCAGGTTGTAAGTCCGCTAAGTTCAGACCTAGCGGACTTACTCAAGTTAGGCAAACTGCAAGTGCTTAGCAAATCGCTTAAGTTCGCCAACTACGTAGCAAGTAGGCCGCCCATTGAAGTAGAGAGCTTGATTAGATAGACTGGGTAGATAGCAAGATAGACAGATGGATAGACACTTACATAGAAGAGGACATAGGTATAAGATAGAGAAGGTATGCTGGCAGATAAACAGTTGGATGGATAGATAGACAGACTACATAGAAAAGTAGATCGGTGTGTAAAGAGATGAGAGACAAGGAGGGGTAGGCTAGGTAGGTATCTAGTTTGGGATACAGATAGGCAGGTCGATCGAGCGCGTGAATAGATAGACAACACGCATATAGATACGTGGATAGATCGACAGATAGGCAAAATGACAGAGAAAGAGACGTAGAAGTATGCAGAAACAAGCTGACACGAAGGGGGGGAAGGAATAAGGAAAGGTGAGAAAGAGAAAGCAAAAACTCAAGAAAGGCAAGAAAGAATCTAGCCGACTACGCCTCTTTGAAGTTATGCTATGTCATGTCACGTTTTTGATGAGCCCCAGATGGGGATGACAGCCTTCTGGGCCCCAGCCGGGCCCCAACGTAGAAGGTTCACGTGGGCCGCAGAAACAGCAGCCCAAAAAGAACAGCCCACAAGCCAGCCCGGAAGCGCAAACGCAACAAAACACCGCAAATAGCAGCGTTTTGTGGCTGGGGTCGCGCGCGCACGTGCGCGCTTGCGCGCCAGACAGCCCGAAAACCAATGGGCAAACAGCAAGGGCCGCGCAGCGCATGAGCCAGCCACAACGAAAGCAAAGCGAACAGAACAGCAGCCCAACGCTCAGTGTAGCAGTTTCTGACGGTATTTACGGCGTTTTGTAGAGCAAGGGCCCAGGATCGCCGCAAGTCCGGCAGCGCTTGGCGCCAAAAAGCGCGAAAACGAGCCTCGCTTATCGCATTTTGGCGCAGGCGCTGCCGGGCATGCCGGCGATGCTGGGCCCTCACTCTACAAAACGCTGTAAATACCGCCGAAAACTGCTGTGCTGAGCGTTGGGCTGTTGTTCTGTGCGTTTTGGTTTCGCTGTGGCTGGCTCGCGTGCTGCGCGGCCCTTGCTTTTCTTCCATTGGTTTTCGGGCCTTCTGGCGCGCGCGCTCACGCGCGTGCGCGACCCCAGCCACAAAACGCTGCTATTTACGGTGTTTTGTTGCATTTGCGTGTCTGGGCTGGCTTGCGGGCTGTTCTTTTTGGGCTGCTGTTTCCGGCTGGGGCCCAGAAAGCTGGCATCCCCGGCATCATCTGGGGTTGGGGTGGGCAACATGCATAACCTAACCAGCCATATCATAGCACAGGATACGTTTCTCAAACAAACTAGAGGATGATTGGCCCGAAAGCATTTTTCCCCAGGTGCTCATCCAGCCGCGGAGACACCTTTTTACATCGCTGCGGCGAGCGTGTCTGCACGCGGCGATGCTCAATGTGTATCTGCTCGGCGCAATGTGCTTTGCACGAACTGCGCCGCGCGATTTCTCACGAAAGTGGTGCTCTGCGCAAGTGACTCTGCGCAAGTTGCTCTGCGCAAGTGCTGCCGGAGCTGTGGGAATGTACTTCGCGTAGTATTTTTGTACTTAAAAGTTGCGATTTTCCAGCCGGAGCTGCGGGAGTGTGCTCCGCGTACTACGTTTGTACTTAAAAGTTGCGATTTTCCAGCCGGAGCTGCGGGAGCACGCTCCGCATACTACGTCTGTACTCAGCCGGAGCTGCAGGAGCACGCTCCGCGTACTACGTTTGTACTTACAAGCTGCGATTTTCAAGCCGGAGCTGCCGCGGACAAGGGGGGAATCGAACCCGCGACCGCGGGATTGCGAAAGCAGGCACGCAAACCACGAGACAACTTCCCAAGGCTTTTTCACGAGCAACAAAATCGCACGGTGCCACAGCGAGAGCGCTTCGACACGCACGATCTCCGCAGAGAGTTCATCCGGGAATGTAAAAAAACGCAAAAAAACCCCGAGTTTTTGCACCTCGACCACGCCGATCCCCGCAGTGGGTTCATCCGGGCACCGCAAAAAACGCAACAAAACTCGAGTTTTTGCACCTCGACCACGCCGATCTCCGCAGAGGGTCGCGCGGGCATATCAAAAAACGTAAAACTTTGAGTTTTTGCACCTCGACCACGCCGATCCCCACAGAGGGTTCATCCGGGCACCGCAAAAAAGCAAAAAACCTCGAGTGTTTGCACCTCGACCACGCCGATCCCCGCAGACGGTCGCGCGCGCACCGACAAAAACGCAAAAAAACCTTTGAGTCACGAGCATGGAGATACTTGCGCAGAGTCACCAGCATGGAGTCACCAGCGTAGAGTTACTTGCGCAGAGCCAAGTGCAAAGAGCCAAGCGCATAGAGCCAAGTGCTCAGAGCGAAGTGCAAAGAGCGAGGTGCAAGGAGCCAAGTGCACAGAGATAGGTGCACAGAGCCAAGTGCAAAGAGCAAAGTGCATCGAGCCAGGCCCGCAGAGGGTCGCATTCCCGATCGCGTCAGCATCCCCACCCCTTGCCAAGAAAGAGATTCTTAATACCGAGCTCTTTCTCTTTCTTTCCCGTGCGTTAAGTACTTAGCCCAACTTACTTAACCTAGCTTACACAGCTGCTAACGCCGAGCCTCTACACCTAGCAATGCTGGTATCTCCATGCTGGTGACTCTGTGCAAGTATCTCCATGCTGGTAACTCTGTGCAAGCTACTCTGCGCTAGTAACTCTGCGCGGGTATCTCCATGCTGGTATCTCCATGCTGGTGACTCTGTGCAAGCTACTCTGCGCAAGTTGACCAAGAGCTCCGCACGAAAGAACCCTTCGCAATGCTTTCGGGGAAAACATCACATGACATGGTATAACTTCAAAGAGGCGTAGCCGGCTAGAGGCCGCAGGCCCAGAAATATACTTGGACGGGCGGCCTACTTGCTATGTAATTGGCGAACTTAAGCGATTTGCTGAGCCACTTGCAGCTTGCCTAATTTGAGCAAGTCCGCCAGGTCTGAACTTAGCGGACTTACAACCTGGCTAAGTCCACTTGGCGAGTTAGAGGACTTAGCTAAGCAGATGCTGAGCAGTTCTAAGTAGTTACCTAAGTCCTCTAACTCGCAAAGTGGACTTAGCCAGATTGTAAGTCCGCTAAGTCAGACTTAAGACTCTGCAGACTTACTAACTCAAGTTAGGCAACTTGCAAGTGGCTTAGCAAATCGCTTAAGTTTGCCGATCACATAGCAAGTAAGCCGCCCGTCCAAGTAGCTAAAGCTAGCAGGCAAATTGCCTGGCGGCGACGTGCTACGTCCATGTGCCGCCGACCCCCTTTTTTCAGCCATTCGTCTTGCGCCGGCTGCGTCGACTTGGCGCTCAAATCGCAGCTAAACACGGCCCGACAGGCTTACAGCTTGCGCAAAACGATGTGGGTGAACTAACAAAAAGCGACCGAAAAACGAAAAAATGAGGCTCAGACAAAGGGGTCCGAACGGCAGTTTCTGATTTTGTTAAGTAGAGTAGCCAGAACCCGACAACCAAAGCCCCGCAGGACGCACGCCAAGGCATGGCCCAGGCTGCGGAGAGATAGCAGCAGCAAAAAATTTTGCCGTGACCAACAAACTTGGCAGACAGCTTGCGCAGCGAAGGCCACTCGGTCCCAGGCGCCGCCCCGCCGGAGCACGCTCCCAGGCGTGGTTGGCGGATAAAGTAAAAGATAAAGGAAAGAAGGAAAGAGATAATGGTTCCAAAGAGAACGGAAAGACACAAACAACAGAAAGAGAGAGGTTAGTCTAGTTTCAAACTACTATGTTGCTTGACACCTCCACCGACCGGCTTTGCCGGCCCTACTGGTAGGTCAGGAATACTTTATCATTTACTTGCTGGGATGAGTTGGCCCAAACCGGGCAAAAACAGTGAGCCTCTTCGTTTTGTTGTTCAAGAGGGCCCTGGAAGGATCCATTGTTGGGGGCTGAGTGTAAGTCTGCGGCCGGCTCTGAAGTGTTTTGGTGAAAATAACCATGTGGAAGCACCCAACTCGCGTTGACAGCCCTGCGCAAAACGCCAAATGACCCGGGCACTTTTGGAAAGCATTTGTGTGTGTTTGTTGCAGGTTCATGCCCCCAAGTCCGACGATTGGTGTAGGTGCCATATCCAGGCTCTCAACCAAAGATAGCTAACTGAGCGGTTCAGCGGGTCTACTTTGCTTCGCGCATGCAGGATCCAGTTACACCCTAGGATGTCTCGTTACGTAGATGGAGCTTGGCTTCACGTATGGTCAACACCTTTTCCTTTACTTCGGGTTATGGCCAGTCAGCTCCTTGGTAGAGAGCCGTTGCAAAGGACGTTTTTCAAGAACTGATCGTTTCGGATTCGCGGCACATAGGACGCACGGTCCGGCGAGGACGACGAGGTGCTTGAGATTTGAGTCGTCAGCGAACGACTGGCAGGTTTTGTTCGGGCGCATGAGCTTCCAGAACAGGATTGGGCCCCAAAGAGAGATTTTTGTCCTGAACATTCGTATGCCATTCCTGCTGCAACCAGATCCTTTCGTCTGTTGGGCACTGACATGAAACTTTTTCAGGAAAGCTTCGTGGGTTGCATGGGAAAGCCTATGACGTTTGCGCTGTCAGAATCCGACGCAATTGTGTCAGCTGCGCAGCAGCAGCGTAACACTTCCCATACATCGAAACAAGCTGACTGGCGCAACAGCTGCGGAGCACCTTGGAGCCATTGCAAAATCAACGGCAACTGAGTGAAGACGCGGCGCAGAGCCAGCTGTTGCCATTCATCTTAAAGTCAATCAAGGCCCACGGGCTTAATTGCTTGCCTGTGTCACCTAGCAGCTTTCATGTCAACCAGGCTCCATACCTTCAGTACCCGTAAACGTTTCCGCAACCTAGCAGGAGCTTTTGCTGGCCTTTCAGTTGTGGCAAAATATGTGACGATGATAGTAGCTTTTTTTTGCGAAAGTGTTCCCAGTGGTGTTGCAGAGGTTGGCTTTAGGAGCCACGATCAAGCGTGTCAAGCATGTTGGGCCCGTTGTTTTTGATTCGGGCCGCTATTATAGACAGTTTGTTCTTGGGGTCCTCTTTTTTTTGGGGTCCTCTAGTATGGCAAGTGTGTTTGCCCGCTCCGAAACATGTAAACAACGTGATTTCATTGTTGGAAACAACAAGCCAAGGCCTTAGATCTAGAAAATCCAGTTTTTCACGTGGTCCCAAAACTATCAGTCCTTTATAAATCCACAGTCACAAGCAACAAGGCCACACAGTTGCCCGTAGGAGCCCCCGACCCTCTTCAATCCGACTTGTGCGAGTTCTCTTTTTGGTGTTGTTTTTTGCTCCGAGGCTAAAGGGTTTTAATCTAGGAAACAAACCGTTTTTGTTTATATACACCGTTAAGAAACTAGAGGACGATTGGCCCGAACGCATTTTCCACAGGTGCTCATCCAGCTGCGGAGACACCTTTTTACATCGCTGCCGCGAGCGTGTCTGCGCGCGGCGATGCTCAGTGTGTATGGTCGCATGAGAGCTCCATCTCATCATCCTACTTTCCTCTCGAACTGCGCCGCGCGACTTCTCACGAAAGTGGTCTGCGCAAGCTGCATTGTTCCAGGCTGCTGCGCGCAAGTTGCTCTCTGCAAGCTGCTGCGCGCAAGTGCTCTGTGCAAGTTGCTCTGCGCAAGTGCTCTGAGCAAGTTGCTCTGCGCAAGTGCTCTGCGCCAGTTGCTCCGCGCAAGCGCTTTGCGCATGTGCTCTGCGCAAGTTGGTCTGTGCAAGTTGCTCTGCGCCTGCTCTGTGCAAGTTGCTCTGCGCAAGTGCTCTGAGCAAGTTGCTCTGCGCAAGGGCTCTGCGCCAGTTGCTCCGTGCAAGCGCTTTGCGCATGTGCTCTGTGCAAGTTGGTCTGTGCAAGTTGCTCTGCGCAAGTGCTTTGTGCAATTGCTCTGTGCAAGTTGCTCTGCGCAAGTTGCTCTGCGCAAGTGACTCTGCGCAAGTTGCTCTGCGCAAGTGCTGCCGGAGCTGCGGGGGTGTGCTCCGCGTACTACGTTTGTACTTAAAAGTTGCGATTTCCAGCCGGAGCTGCGGGGGTGTGCTCCGCGTACTACGTTTGTACGTAAAAGTTGCGATTTTCCAGCCTGAGCTGCGGGAGCACGCTCCGCATACTACGTCTGTACTTAAAAATTGCGATTTTCCACCCGGAGCTGCAGGAGCACGCTCCGCGTACTACGTTTGTACTTAAAAGTTGCGATTTTCAAGCCGGAGCTGCGGGGGTGTGCTCCGCGTACTACGTTTGCACTTAAAAGTTACGATTTTCCAGCCGGAGCTGCAGGAGCACGCTCCGCGTACTACGTTTGTACTTAAAAGCTGCGATTTTCAAGCCGGAGCTGCCGCGGACCAGGGGGGAATCGAACCCGCGACCGCGGGATTGCGAAAGCAGGCGCGCAAACCACGAGACAACTTCCAAAGGCCGTTTCGCGAGCCAGAATATTGCACGGCGCCACAGCGAGAGCGCTTCGACGCGCACAATCTCCGCAGAGGGCTCGCCGAGACTTAGACAAATTCGCACGGCGCCACAGCGAGAGCGCTTCGACGCGCACGATCTCCGCAGAGGGTCGCGCGCGCACCGCAGAAATCGTAAACAGTCCACAGTTTTTGAACTTCGACCACGCGAATCTCCGCAGAGGGTCGCGCGCGCATGCTAAAAATCGTAAAAAGTCACCAGTTTTTGAACCTCGACCACGCGAATCTCCGCAGAGGGTCGCGCGCGCATGCTAAAAATCGTAAAAAGTCCGCAGTTTTTGAACCTCGACCACGCGAATCTCCGCAGAGGGTCGCGCGCGGCCAGCAGAAATCGTAAAAAAGTCCTCAGTTTTTGCACCTCGACCACGCGAATCTCCGCAGAGGGTCGCGCGCGCATGCTAAAAATCGTAAAAAGTCCTCAGTTTTTGAACCTCGACCACGCGAATCTCCGCAGAGGGTCGCGCGCGGCCAGCAAAAATCGTAAACAGTCCTCAGTTTTTGAACCTCGACCACGCGAATCTCCGGAGAGGGTCGCGCGCGCAGCAGAAATTGTAAAAAGTCCTCAGTTTTTGAACCTCGACCACGCGAATCTCCGCAGAGGGTCGCAATCCCGAGCGACGATCAAACCTTAGAAACCTAAACTAACTTACATAGCTGCTAACGCCGAAGCTCTAAGCTCTACCTAACCTTGGCTCTATGTAACTTGGCTCTATGTAACTTGGCTCTATGTAACTTGGCTCTATGTAACTTGGCTCTATGTAACTTGGCTCTATGTAACTTGGCTCTATGTAACTTGGCTCTATGTAACTTGGCTCTATGTAACTTGGCTCTATGTAACTTGGCTCTATGTAACTTGGCTCTATGTAACTTGGCTCTATGTAACTTGGCTCTATGTAACTTGGCTCTATGTAACTTGGCTCTATGTAACTTGGCTCTATGTAACTTGGCTCTATGTAACTTGGCTCTATGTAACTTGGCTCTATGTAACTTGGCTCTATGTAACTTGGCTCTATGTAACTTGGGTCTATGTAACTTGGCTCTATGTAACTTGGCTCTATGTAACTTGGCTCTATGTAACTTGGCTCTATGTAACTTGGCTCTATGTAACTTGTCCAAGGGCTCCGCACGGAAGAACCCTTCGCGATGCTTTCGGGAAAACATGCAGGAAGTTTACGATGAAGTCTTGTCAAAACTCAGTTAAATACGGGAAATATAAAATAATATTTTGGCAATATCAAATTAATACTAGGAGTGTAAGATTAAGCCTTGACAATATTGAGCAAGTCGTAGTATTTCTAAACTATTGACGGGGAACCTACGTTTTGTTTTGGCAATGCTGAATTTGGTATTGGCCAAACTAAATCAAGTAAAGCCCAACCCACCTCCAATTTCCGAGTAAAGGGGGTCAACATGACGGCTGGTGCTGTTTGAGGAGGGGACCGATTCAAGCAGGTCCTACATTTATTTAGGCTGGTGCCGTTTGCGGCAAGCACGTTCCCTTTTCCCAGTTGCCTGGACTTCCGCAGGCATGATTTCACCAATCACACGTGCGGGCCACAATCCCGAAACAATCCCAAAATACAGACATTTGTCACTTGTCAAAACTTCCGTGACACAGTTTTAGCTTGACGCAAGTTTTGACACGGCCAGTTTTGGAAACTACCAAAGCGTAGCGGAAACGTAGCCCCTTTACGAACGCTTCAAGTCCCCAAATCGTACCGAAACGGAGCCCCCTGACACACACTGGGTCATGTCAAAACTTGTGTCAAAACTCCCGACGCGCGTGTAAACATGCAAAAAAGTCAATTAAGCTACCAAACGGCCCCGTCTCAAAACTTGTGTCAAAACCCCCCGTGTCAAAACTTGTGGCAAAACTTTGGCAGAACTGCCGTGTCAAAATTTTTCACAATCTACTGCATATAGCCACAAACAAGTTTTGACACAGTTTTGACTCAAAAAGTTTGGACACGGAAAAATTTCGACACGGGGGAGATTTGACACAAGCTTTGAGACGGCCCTGTCTGGTGACTTGTTTGCCTTCTTTGCACTTTTTCCCGCGCGTCGGGAGTTTTAACACAAGTTGTGACACAAGTTCTGACACAATCGTCAACTTACGTTTTTGGGTGGCTATTTACGTCGTTGTTCTGATTTGGCATTAGTTTTGACACACAAGTTTTGACACTGGTTTTGGCACAAACTGCGACGCACATTTCATCTTACAGGCTGCATGGGCTTCCTGCCTTTTTCTGTGACTTCAGTTTCATGTAATGTGGAACAATCGGTCCCCTCCCCCCACCAAACAGCGCCAACAGTCATGTTGACCTTCTTTAGTCGGAAATCTGCGGGGCCTTGACTTAGTGTTGCCAAGAGTAGAGTTAGTATTGCCAAGACTTAATCTCAGACTGCCAGTTCAGAGTTGAGTGCTGCCACGACCTAATCTTAGATCTCGAGTATTCAATCTAGTGTTGGCAATACTAAAATTAGTTTTGCCGAAGAAAAATGTTAGATTCCCAGTATTCAATTTAGTCTTGCCAAGACTTAATCTTAGATCCCCACTGCCTAATTTAGTATTGCCAAGGCCAAATTTCGTATTGCCGAGAATGCTTATTTTATTACGGCCCAGACTGAGTCTTGTACTGAACACAATTTTGCCAACGTTAGTTTTAGCATTGCTAAGATCTAAGGCCTTGAGCTGGGAAGGGCTTGGGTGAACCACCCTTCAAAGAAAACAGCTACGGCTTTGCTCTGGAAATGTCACCCTCCCCCCCAAACAGAAATTAAAGCGGGCCCCCAAAACAGTCAGACTAAAGAGGGGCAGGGCCTCCTGAGGGCAACCCCCTGCTGGCCCTGTTTTTTGTTGTTACAGGGGTTTCGTTGTAAAGCTCTAAGACCTTTAAACTTTGCG